ATTGTAAGCAGCGGCTGCTGCGGCTGATGAATGCACGGCCACGGCCGAGCCTCCGCCACCGTTTAAGGCGGCGGCTCCATATTCATCTGCTTCTCCTATTTTCACTCTTCTCCCTATCGGAATCCCATGGTGAGTCTGCATGAAACCCTGATGATGCGTGGACGCCAAGCTATCACAGTGAGGTAACCCTAGCGTGAGTACACGCCATTATTGTTTCCTGAATACCGTTGCGCTAAGAGCTCCCGGTCCGAGACAGCTACTTCGAATCTTGACATCTCATCTATTTGGTATTGTCCGAAGTTTCCCATGAAAGGGTATCCACCGTCTGATCTAATCCCTTGCCTTTCTTCTAGAATCTTCATTGTGAGCTTCTCGTTCGAGCTGAAATCCGCATTTATAGGCTGCATCATTGTCTCTTCGCTTGTTCTTAGCCTCTTGGGGCTACCTTGCATCCCGGTGACGCCTTCTAGGTCACCATTGTGATTAGGATTCAGATGGTAATTATCTGCGCCTCCTCCTCCTCCCATGAGACTCTTCTCTTGGTTACTTGTTGATTTAGAAGCAGAATCTTCGTTGTTTTGATCCAAGTTAGGTGTCTTCTCCATGGATCCAATGTTCTTTCCCTGCTCCTTCATCTCCTCCACGTACATCTCTTCCACCATCGGCTTCCATAGCCTAACTCTCGCGTTTATAAACCAGTTTGACACCTAACAAGAATTAAAAAAAAAATACATTTATAAAAATACGTACGTTTCCTTAATTAACACAATAACCATTAAAGCGTACGTACCTGGCTCCTAGTGAGTCCTGTTTGTTTGGCTAGCATGTGCTTGTCCGAATCCTTAGGGTATCTATAACATAAACAAAGACAAGACTTAGTTTAAATATAAATGAAAATTTTTAAATTTGGAGACGCTGTTATTCGTCGGAAAATTTTAAAATCCGCATAAAACATTGTATAACATGAAAGTAATGTATGTGTATAGATGTTGTGAAAGTTACTTACGGGTGAAGAAAGTGTTCAAAGAGCCAAGCACGGAGAACTGAGACAGCTCGTTCAGGGAGACCACGTTGAGGTCTCCATGCGTTATTAGAAGGATGTTGAATCATTCCAAGTTGCTGAAGAGCTCTCTGCTGTCTCAAGTGATGGTCTACGAACTTGAGCCTCGACCCTTCAAGCCTCCCAACCCCAGAGACAGAATCTTCCTCGCCAAGGCTCTTGTTGGCCGCTTTTATCTGACCAGCGATCGCTTCTTTCAAGCACCGG